GTACCTACACCTTCCCAGATACAAAGTTTTGAAAATGCCTCCAGGGTTGCACAGAATATGAAGGGAAAGTCTGAAAGATGTGAGAATTCCAATGCATTTGATGATGATGCAATGGTCAGAGAAGATGCTAGTGATGACAGTTGAACGTCCCTTTGCCTTCCCAGCCCCATTCATATATTCTCAGGCATAGGATGACAAAGGGAAGTCCACGGGTCACATGAACAGATACTGTTGACATATAATCCTGTCCAAATTTTCTTCTCTACCCAATATCCAGCCTGTCAAGGTCCCTCTGGATGGCATCCCTTTTTTCTAGGGCATCAACCACACCACACAGCTTGGTATCATAAGCAAACTTGCTGAGGAGACACTCAATCCCACTGTCCATGTCTCCAACAAAGATGTTAAAACAGCACTGATCCTAGTACTCAGTGCACATAAGGCAATCATGTACTTGAAGTTCATTAGGGAACATGTTCTGTGTTCTAATCCTACTCTCACTCTGTTCCTCACTAGTGGATCTGCATCTGAATTACTGGATTTGGGTTTGGGATGTCCACTTCAAGTAGGATGAGGAGAAACTGGAGAGCATTCAGATGAAAGTTCCTAAGGTATATAGTGGCCTAGAGAGCATGTCTGAAGAGGAGGGTTTGAGACAGCAGGGCTTGTTTAATCTTTTGAAAAGAAGTCTAAGGAGTAATCTAATACTTGCCTACAACTACCTGTAAGGTTATTAACAAGGTGTTAGGGCCATACTCTTCTTTGCTAGGACCAGGTCCTATGAAGGGAAAATAGCTACAAATGGTTGTTTGGGGAAGCTCCAGATCAGATATTGATGATGGGATGGGGGAAGTTTCCAAACATTTTTCTGGACCCATATGGTCTCCATTATTGGAGGTTTTCAGGCTTGTCTAAGCAAAGCTAAGGGACAAGCTTATCTAGCATTAACAATCAACTTTGAATTGAGGCTCAGACTGGAGACCTTCGAAGGTCTGATCCAGTCTGTATGAAACCCATATAAAATTGTTTTACTCCCACATTTCAATGTAAAATTTTTTACAGGGGCTGTCAAATTATCCATGTAATGTTGTTCAAATTAAACCATACAGTAGAGATGGTCATGAAGATACTTTCCTTTCAGAGCATATCTTAAGGTGATCTCCCTACCTTTAAATTCCTGCAGAGTCCAGTACTCAAACACTTGTGTGAATTGGAAAATAGGAACATTTCTGATCACATCACTTTCAATATTTCCTTTTGATTTTGAAATAGTATCAGAAACATTTCTTGTTACAAAACAAAGCACTTCAAAACTTCATGATTTTGAGACAATTTGTGGTTCACTGCAAGGAATGGTTACTGGACTGTGTTAAAATTGTTTTCACTTGTGAAAATAAGAAATAACTGCCCTGAGCATTGAAGCATTAAATTGACCTCTAGTAAAATGCACAACTGAGTGACTATCCTGAACCTGTAGACTCAGATCGACCCACAAATGCAATTGCACTCTCTGCTTGCCTGGAAAGCATTTTTAAATTCCTAAATATTTGCTGTGGACAAAATATGAGCTATGGAAGTCATAAAAGCTAAAAAGGTAGAGTGAAAACAGGGTATTCAATGAAATCCTTTCTCTAGTGTTCATAGGGAGCATAAGCCAAGCTTTTTATTAACATGTTATGGTACACTCATTCAGGACATCAGATACTACTGAGTGTCTGAGAGTGATGACATGGTAGGAATAAAGCAATTTAGTCTTTCAGAATTATCTGGCATATTTAACAACCTGATTTAATCTTCAATTTTATTAGAGAGACTGCCACTGTCCCAATCTATTTGCAGGGAATACAATTTTGTGCTTGAAGTTTCCCTTTGTGAATAGCATGTGATTCCAAACGTCCAGGAGAGCTCTCACTGCACTGGAGAAAGATAAAGCTGAAGCAAAGTAAATAAGAAATTACAAGCATAGCATGTAGAAGTTAGGCAGGATTAAAAATAAATATAAAATCTGCTTTCAGCACTTTTGTCTGGGGACAGGATGTGAAATAAGAAGTTAACTGTTTATTAGTTCCTAAATCTGTTCTGTTTCCTAGCTCTCTGGTCTTTTGTTTGGTGATTAAGAAATGTTACCTTTCCTGACTCTCCAGCACACACAAAAAAAGTCTGATGCTCTCAGTTTTTTTCACCACTCCATATGCTTACATTTGGAAAAAAGAAGACAGGACACACACACATGGCTGAACACACTTCTGTTTGGACAAAGATCCCTTCTCAGAAGCAGAGCCCCTGCATGCACAGGGCCAAGGATCTCCATTTCTTTGCTAGGAATGATGGTAGGGAAAAGAGTCAGAAAGCAGCCATCTGTTTGGCTGACCCAACAGGGCAGGTGGTCCTTCTCTCATCCATATGGTCACCTTTCTATTAACTAGAGACTGGGCAATACTCAGTCACCTTATTTTAAAAAAGAGGAAAACAAAATGTGGCAGAAACACTCTGAATGTCACTGGACCAAGATGCGTAAATCTTGCTAACAAACCTCCTTCTTAACAGTTGTCTTAGATTTCTATTCTAAGGAAGTGTTGTGAGACCCAAGTTTTTTTATGTTTCTAAGAGAGCCAGGTTTGGGAGGAAGAGGTTAAAGATAGAGACACTCCTGGAGGCTGGGGTGGGGGCAGGGAGAAGGTGCCAGAGAGAAACCAGAGAGGAGAAATCCTTTTTTGTTTGTTTGTTTTTGTAGGTGTTTGAAGATGTCAGGCAAGCATTTGGCTTTAACCACCAAAGTTTAGAAGTTTCTCCATCAGTCACTTTTCATCAGGTAAACCTCTTGTCCCAGCTTGAATTAAGTTAAATCTCTCTAAATAAACTCATTTTTTAACATAAAGATTTTTTCAATATAATGTTTTGCTGTTAACTGCACAAGCTCAAATTTCCCATATAAATATCCTGAAAATAATTATTATTTACAGCACAACTTTCTACAGTTACATCATAATTGCCATTTTCAAATGTTTTGGTTTTGGTTTTTTTCTTGACAACATAGAATTAGATCACACTATCTCCATCTGCTAATGCATAGGTATGCACACATTGCTTAGGATGCACACACTGCACACACATACCTACACACTGCTCTTTGAGAAGAAGCAATACATACTCTGATATTGTAAAAACAGTAAGACTGTAGTGCATGTAGTTCAGTGGCATTAAAAAGTGTAAACAGCACACCATTTTAATTTAAGCACAGGCTATTCTTATCATAGAGTAAGCTTGATTAAACACACCAACATGGTAATTTATGTTCTACGCATTGTGTCTGCTTGTAATTCAGTATGATCTGATGTCCAAGAGTCTAAATGTGTTTCCTAGTTTCATTCCAGTTTCAAGTGCCTGTATCATAAAACATTCCACTGTTCCTGTCCTCAAAATTGCATGTTTATAGAGAGTTACGAGCAGAAAGGCTGTGCTTAGGAGCACTTTTGAAATATGTGTTATGTTTTGGCTCCTAATGGTAGCTTTATGCAAGTACAAGTTTCTGAAAATTACACAGGAAAAAAAATAATTAAAAATATCTAGAAATATATTAACAATATATCTAGATATTAACAATATCTAGAAATATCAAATATAGATATTAACAATATCTAGAAATATATTAACTCCCCAATGAAATTAAGCATCTGTATACTACAGAAATAATAATACTAATATTCAGATGTCGTATTTTATTTTATCAAAGCAGAAGTGACTATTTACTTTTCTTTTTATGTAGTAAAGTAGTACATGATTATGAAAGAAAAACAAACAACTTCGAGAGAAAAGCAGGGACTTCAGTCTGATCACAATGTGAATTTAATCATCATGATGGTAAAAGATGAGGTGAAAGGACCATTTAACTTCATATTCTGCCTCTGGCTGTGGCTAATGACAGCTGCCGTGGAAAAACTAATAAACACAGTGCAAATAAACAGTACCATTTCTATGGAACCCTCTCTTTGCCTCTAAATATCAATGGCTTTGGGACTGCTTGAGTTGCCCAGTAATTTTTTCTGCAACCATGCAGGACTTTAAATACCTCAGTCATCTCTATTCCAACTTGCAAAGCCTTTATCATAAAAAGTCTCTCTTACTTTTCCCACCCTATTCACTACCTTTGATAATTCCACTGTATTTAAAAAAAAAAAAAAAAAAAAAAAGGGAAAGAAAACTGTAAAC